TTTGTATCCTTTTCCTTTTTTTCTCCATTTTTCAAAATGCACCCAAAATTCACCCACCTTGATGGCTTTTTTGCTATCACCTCTAATGACCCCAAACTCTCGGCCCTTTCATGTTAGCATTTCCCTATGCTCTGTTTATTCTCCCTGTTCCACCTCTTTGCCTGTGTCCACAGCTGGGGTTTCACATCCCAGCATCAGCTAGAGCCTGAAGACACTGCTGAGCAGATGGTGGAGCTGCTTCTTGCACAGCCCTGCTGCTGTCCTGTGGCATTTTGCTTCTGTATAAGGCAGTGGCTCCCAGCATATCAGCTGTGGATGTGAAGACCAGACCTAGGGTAAAGTAAACCATGTTTGTTGGTTAACCTTCTGGGAAAAAATAAATCCTCCCCTTGTGCTCAAGTATCTGGTAAAATTAATGTAGATACAGGCTGAGAGAGGAATAAGGACAAGGTGGGGATGGCAGGAAATTGCAGTGTGTTCATTAGCATATGAAGAGGGCTATATTTATACCAAGTGCAAGGAAGGCAGCATGATCAGGTGGGCATTTAGGAAGGTATTTACATTTCCAGTAAACCATGGCAGAGATTTTCCCTAGAACTGCATGTGCCTCTGATGTTCCCTTTGAAGAAACCCATATTCCTTCCTTACCACAGATGAACTCAAACATGCTTGAGAAAAGTCCAAGTCTAAAAATTCAAGAGACTTGGCTCAAGCTGCTGACTTACTCCCAGCTGTGTGTGCAAAACAAACCACTTTGCTTTCACATGTTCTCAAACAAGGACTACAGTGAGAGGAAGATGTTACCTCAGAGATTCCTTGAGACAGAGGTCACTTTTATCAGAGATCCCTGGGTAATTAGTAAAATGCCCCTACTGATGCTACCGAAATAAAGTAATCCTCAGTTGAGGAATTCCATGATTATGTGGAAACTCAGCCTCTTTAGAAGCACTGTGAGCCTGGCAGTTGGTCATGGTGATGATGTATCCTGTTTTGTGTACTTTTAGATATACAGTTTAGCCTGTTGTGGATCTTGAAACTTAGAACTAAGAATATTGATTTATAGAGTTTATGAATTCTCACTGAAATTTTAGGAGTGTATTAAAAAAAGAGAAAAATTATTGAACAATATCTGTCTCTTTAAGTGATATTTCCTGTGGAGTGAGATACTCTTCAGTGTAAGGAAGCCCAGAAGCTGATCAATATTTGTGTATAAAGTATTTCTAGCAATCTGTTTTGCCAAACCTTACATCATCCTCACTAGAAAGTTTGACTATTATTTTACAACCCGTATTTCAAGCAGCATGGAATGGAAGCAAAGAAAATGTTGCCAGGAGTCTGTACTGGAGTTGCAGTGGAACTGTTCTTTCACTTGCAAATTTTAACCATTCTATGGGTTCAATCTAACTTAAAGGAGTACTTTCCAGTGTACTGGCAATTTTATGTGCCAGCCACCACAGATATACAGGGCCTCAGGCTTGGAAGGCTTGTGCTTCTCTTGTATATATGCACCAAAGATAGCACACTGCTGAGTCAAAATAAGATAGTATAGATATATTTGAAATTCACTTTATTAACTGAGATTTTCAGTCCCTGTTTCTAGACATGAAACAGAACCAGATCCAAAAAACTACATTTAAAAGTTGGAGTCAGAAGTAATTAATGCTTAAAGTGACTCTATAACCATACACAGCCAACCTACATAAGTGCAGGTTCTCAAGAGGTTTGTGAATAGTAGTTAGCCTTACTTCTGCCTAGTATATTGGTACCTTGAAATGTAATAAACACTGCACTGCTAAGATAATTTACAGTGAGAAGACTTCATTGCAAAAACTGATTGTTTTCAGTCAAAGTTTTAGCACAAAATTGCATGTTTCTACTTCTAGAGGAAGGTGTCCTTGTGTCAGGCTAAATACTGACAACCTCCCACCCCTGCTTCCTACTTCTCCTTCCACACCTAACTCTGTGACAGCAAGCTCCTGCTGAAAAGGGCAGCACATGACATTGCAAGTCACAGCAGCTCCTTGGTCTGCAAGGGGAATTATTGCTGCATTATGTGAGACGAATCACATTGTTCTGGACAGATTCTCAGGGAAGAAATGTAACAATAAGACTTGTGTTAGTTTGCACTGTTGCTTGTGCTGCCTGGCTCAATGAATTTTATGGCTGAACAAAGCACGAGCTATCAGCGGATCAATTTTTCAGGCTCCTGTATTCACTTCTCTCTCTGAATGGGCCTGGCTTCCCCAGTCCTTGGGGATGCCCCAGATGGATCCCCATTCTCCTGGGCTGGGGAACGTACAAAGCTCACCCAAAGACTTACAGGGCTACCTTCATAAAATACATGGCCCCAAGGACTGTCACCTGTTCTTATTTAAAATATTTTCTTCTATTAAAGAGCACTGTGGAATGCAAACCTCTATTACTTTGACCCTGAGAGTTTTCAGCCTGGCTTCACTGTCCTCTGGCTATGCACCTTGCTCCTGTTGTCCTATTTCTCTAACAAGGTTTATTTCCTTTTTGCTCATTACAGAACCTCTTTTGCAGGAGCCTTGTACCCTTCATGCACCCCATCTTGACAGCTGGTGTGGGCTCACCCTTTGATCCTTGGGCGAACACATCCCAGGTGATGTGGAATGGCATATCCTCAGCTGGTAGCAAAAAAAGAGTGGGGAAGGAGCTGGGCACAGGAGATAGGGCAGAACACAATGAAGTATCATGTGGGATTGGCTTTTCCATGCTACACTGGTTTCTGCATGTAATAAAAAATACCTCTTTCCTCCCAGCCTGCCATTTTCCTCTCGTTTCTTTCTTTCTTCTCCTAGCTTCAGGTTATCTCTCTTCATGACCTCTCTGAAGCCACTGTGGTTAAAGCACAAGGTAATTTGGTTTTTACCTGGGTACCACACTTTGATAAGTTTAGAAAAAAATCTAATTCTCTCCAGGCTGTGAGTTTACCAGCTATTTATGATAAGAACTCCTGATAGTTTCCTTAAACTGCCAAGGATTCTGTCAGTTTGTGTCCAAGGAAATGACTGTCAACAAGGAGCCTGGAAAAGTTTGGGATGGAGCTGCTTCTGCACTGGGTCCTGCTGGAGCTCCCCCAGCCTGGCTTGCTGCCCTGCTTGGGAGCACAGGGAGCTCTGGAACTGGCCTTGCACCTGCTGGACTGATGGGGTAAACCTCTGCCAGAATCAACTTTTGCACACAAGAATTTTTAACAGAAATTTTCTTTAGCAAACCCCTGAGAGAGCCTGACCCTTCTCCTTGTGGAGTTAATAGCAAAGCTCCTGCTTCATTTCAGTGGGGCAGGGTCAACTTTTCCATCTGTGTAGTACTCAGGGAGTACTGAGGTAAAGACTGGTGAGCCTGACAGCTGCAAAACTGTGGTGTTTGGAAAATGGAACCTTATTAATGTTTATTCTCATTATTAAATTCTTGGGGATTTTTTTCACTACATTCTGCTCATTCTCCCGGGCTCTGCAGCCCTTTATTGCAAAAGAGGCAAGACTAAAAGCAGAGGCCAAGGCATGCTCAGGAAAGTATTACAAGGATTAGACTGCATTTGTGCACATGTGCACATGTGCATGTATCAGCAAAGATGTAAATCTATATTTGCTTGCATCTTCCAAGAGAGTCATTCATGACAGAAGTGTGCATACACTATAGGTGCTTGTTTGGAATTTTTATTAGACACCAGTCTGCACACTGAGGTACTTTCTCAAGCATTACTCAGGAAAAACTCACAGCTTTAACATTATAGTACTTAAATACATGAAAATCCATAATACGTTGCACAGTGTTTTTCTTTCAGCACAAAAGTTACAATACTTCTGTTTTGTACAACAGTACAATACTTTATGACGCTCTACAAAAGTGTGTAAGTTAAGTGCTTTAAAAATACATTCTTAGTAACTTTTGGACATGCAACTTCAAGTCCACTGTAAGAGACTTAACCTCCTTTGCCTCAAAAGATAAACAGGATTCTGTTTCCAGCCCAGAATTCATTAAACACTTGATCAAATTTCTGTTGTCTTGCCTTTGCCCAGCTATTTCTTGAAGTTCAGAACTTTTCTGCATTTCTAATAACTCAGGATAGCCATTCCAAACTCAAGGAATCTAAAAAGTTTTTCTTGGACAAGAGTTGTCACTAACCAGAGTTACCAGATTCAGAGAAGGAATTTAGGCTTGTCCAATAAAATCAAGTCAGATCATGGCCAGTGTATTTGATTATGAAAAGAAGTTCCATAAAGTATTTAAAGGTTAGTAAAAAGTTCATCTCTTACCTATCACTTTGATAATGTATTAGTTGACAAGGTTTTACTAATTTTTAATTAATTTATTAAAAAGGGCTAGAATGCTTTCTTCTTTCTTTTTCTTTCTCAACAACATACACAAAAGCAATATCCCCCAAAGCAGACTTGCACTAGGACATGAGATGGAAAACTTATGTTATAAAACCCATCTCCTTTTGCTTAAAGCAGAGAGATGTGCTGAGAAACTGGTACAGTATGACAACATTTTAAACACAGAGGAGACGAGATTTATCTGGCTGGTATACAATATAAAACAAAAATCGAACACCAATGCTGTATTGAAACAAACCACATTAATTAGATGCTTTGAAGTCAAACCTATATTTTCTTCAGCTTTTTCATGAATTATTGATCCACTTTTCTCATTAAATGGAATGGAAGGCTCTTGCAGTAAATGGACAAGTGGCTACAACATTTATATAATCAAATATCCTCTGCATCTGGCAATAAAACATGTTTGTGTGTAAAACACGCTTTCTGAATTGACATCCCTACAAAACAGATTTGCTAGAACAACCACATTCCTTTTCTTTTGTCTCTAAAGCACAGCTTGCCTTGCATCATCATGCAATCCAGTGTTCTACTCTGATCGTATTAAGCAAGATATTTTCCAAGAGCCTGTATTGTGCATTGTGCAACAGAACATTTCTTCTCCATAATGAGATGTAAATAAACTGTCTCACTTACCTTATTTTCTCCATTTCTGCCGCAGAGGCCTACAAGAAATCAAATAATAGGAGCAAGTGAATGAAAGAAAACATTCACTCTGCAGGTTTATGCATAGTTAAGGTTTTCCGAATGCTTCTCAGCAAGTGGCAGCGAAGCGCTGGCGAGCGAGCCCCACATCTGCATTAGCCGAAAATAGCGCTGGCAGCTGGAGTGGGGAGCGGAGCCGAGCGCGGCGGGAGCCCGGTGTACCCACGAGCCACGGGCACCGGAATGACTCAGTTGTAGCGCTGAGGCAGAAAACGGGGAGGGGAGCAAAAGAAGAAGAAGGGGGGAAAAAAAAAAAAAAAAGCCAAAAGCAAGCAGCAGCAAGTAACAGGTTACTGAGCCTCCTGGGTTTCCCAGGGAAAGTTGAATTGCGGTGCTGCCCTGTGTGCGGTGGGCATGGCAGCGGGCTGGGCTGGCGGGGATTGACAGTGACTTCATCACACGTGAATTCGGAGCTCAATTCAGCATCTTCGGCTGAGCCCGACAGATGGAGGGACGCGAGCGCACCTCCTTAGTGGGAGTTTCGAGTAATCAAATTACTTTCCTCAAGTAATACACTATCTTGACAATTAACATCTCAATACATGGAGGCGTCTGGTTAACCCTTTCGCTGCTGCTGGCCCGCCTGGAGCTCCCGGCCCTGTCCCGCCGGGCTCCCGCTGCCCCTGGGCTCGGCTCTGCCATGGACCGAGGCTCCCCTCGCATCCTCACACACCCGCCACGGCCGGGGCTGGTCATTCCATTCACCTGCCTCGGGTCTTTTTACCCTCTAGGTGCTGCAAATCCCTGCTTATATATAGCACGGAGACTCATTAATTTCTCCAGCATTACTTGTTAGCGTAGTCTTGTTAACCCTTTGGTTTCTTTTTTTTGTCAATATCTCGTGCAGATCCTAAATAGCTGCTCCCATTTCATTTTAGCACAGCGCTGGCACAGAATCTCATCAATTCTCCCAGTCCCGCTTTATTGTAACTAAGGGATGAGCACTCAGAGCAATCCTGCAATCTCTAGAGCCAGACAAATCCCAGCATCACAGAATCTCTTATTTATACTGAAAGCATTGGCCATTAATCATGAGCACTTTAAACCTTATTGATTAATGGCTAACAATCATATTTGAGTATGAAATAAATTAAAGACTAAAAATAGAAAATGTAAATTTAATCAGCCAACCAGCAGGAAATTTGTCAAACTACCTAATAAAACATCCCAAATGACAAATTGCTGGTTCTTCATTGGGTCACTTGTCTTCCCTTTTTCTCATTTACTTTTGATTTGCCCATTAGAGAATCTGTCAGTCAGGTTGGTGTTTGCACGGCAATTTCTGATGTCAAACATTAAGGATTTTAGCCATTCACCATAATTTGGTAGGCAGGAAGCCAGCTGCAGGAAAAGCCCTCCTCAGTTTCTCAGTAACATATGTAATGCTTGTTTACATGGTCCTTGCTATTTAAACATGTGTTACATACATGCTGTGTTGGAACCACAAGGCTGTGTGTGGAATCTTGAGATTGAAAATGTAACCTAAGGACCCATAATTGCTTTCCCAATTTTTTTTTTCCGTCCATTGAATCCTGCATATTCTGTAGTTGACAGGAAATAGATTCAACATTGCTGATCAGAAAATGAACCACAGAGGCTTTTTGCCTGGGCATGAGAGTCTACTGGCAGACTCACTGGCTTGCCAGCTTGGCTCTCCAGACATGAATACTCCAACACTGCCCTGCTCATCATGTTTCTTTAATTTTTGGGGAGATAATAGTTCTTTTGCATGGCTACTCACTATTTCTTTGCCTTGAACTCCGGGAGTCGCTGTGAAGACAGAGTATTTATAATATCTGATTTTAGAGCTTCTATTATAGCAATATCTGCAGACATAAAGGGAAGATACCTGGCCTTGCTTTTGCCTCGTGCTTTGAATAATGCTGCACTCATGGGGTCAGTGCGGGGGTTGCTTTGTGCGATTAAATCAAAGTATTGAGAAGAGGAGCTGTAGACTAATGTTTTGGTGATACTCATCTGTGAATACAAGTGAGTCATTGGCTGCCAATCCTGACAGGAAATTAGTAGGGAGAAAAAAAGCACAGTAAATGCCTAACACCAATTCAAACAAGAAAACTAAGCCAAGCTGCAATTTTTTTTTTTTTTTTTTTTTTCCTCCTGGTAGGTAGGGCTGGGTTTTTTACATCCTCAAAGTAAAAGCTCTTTGTTCCATGTAATATGGCCAAATTTCCCTCAGTCCATTGAGAGTGTTCTACTCTGCCCTTCCCTGGCAGGCTGTGCAGTAGAGATCTCTCCTCTCTGATGTGGAAACTTTGGGGTCAGATCAATCCTACCCGAAGAGGATGCTCTGCCTGCCCAGGTCAGGGGCCTCTCTGGGCTGCAGCACTGCAATGCTCCATTACATCTTTTGACAGGAATCCACTTCTAGTAAATAAATAGGAGCACAGGACAGGACTGGAGCCTGGATGTTCTTCAGCAGATTGCCCTAGCTTTCAGCTTAGGGAGTCAAATGGGTGTACAGATATGAGAAGTGGTGAAAACAAAGGCAGGAGCATCTGTAGAAACAGTTTTAATCTTAAGCAGTTTATTTTCTCAGATAGCTGTGTCCCTTAAAAAAAGTAATTTTTTATCCTCTTTTTTCCTTTTTCTTCTTCTTCCATTTCCTCCTCCACATTTAATTTTTTCCTTTTTCTCTTTTTTTCCCCCAAAGAAGCCTTAACAACTCACAACTATTTAAAAAGTCTGCAGTTTTCTGAAAAAGCTCTGTAATCACCAGGTGACATTTTTACTAAGGCAAAATTGCTGTTCCTAGCCAGATCCCTGCCATTGATTTAGCCTGTGGAAGTTTAGAGGTTGCATCATTCTCCCACTGTTGTCTATGAAGGCTCCTATTTGAAACATCTTACTGAATTGATTTAAAAATATATTCTAAACAGCTCTGAATTGGCCACTTTAAGGACAAATCTTGTCCTTAAAGTCTCATGGGGCCTATTTCAAGCAGATAGACTAAAGTAAAGGTTGGTGCAAGAATGTTCTTAATGGTAAGTCATCCATAAATTGTTGCTTGCTAGCATGTTGATAAATTTCAAGAGATTCTTGATGCCTAAACTGAGCAGTGATTGAATCTGTGTGATTTTTAAAAGTAAATATTTTAAATTAAGATCAGTAATTACCTTTAATTATAAAAATATCAGATGTGATTTATTTACATGGGATTTTTTTAACAATACCAATGCAGTATGACTAAAGAATTTATTTAATTGGCCTAAAAATAACAATTTTTTCTTTTAATAAAAAGTTTGGTCTGAGTAAATCAATAGGCTATATTTCTATATACAGTTTATTTAAAATGCTGAGACTTAAAATACTGAGGTTTGAAGATTTTAATTTTTACAGATATGGTGTGGCAATTATCCCTGGAAGCACTTTTGGATAATAACTAATAATATTGATAGAAACCTGATTTTTTTCCAAGTGTTTGAAGGAAGCAAATGTGATACACCAAACAAATACCAGGACTCACCTTTCTTTGGAAGTTCTTAAACATTTAAAGGTCCATTTTGGAGCAGATATTAAAATAGAAGTCAGTTACTTTTAAATTTTTTTTATTTTTTTTTTAACATAGTCCACCACCCCTCACTTATTTTATATTGCAAGTTGACATTCTTTGGTTTTCTTTGAGAACAAAGTCGTTTGCTGGTTTGAATGAAAGCATGGATGCTGTTAATGGAAACCTCAGGAAATTTAAACGTGCTTTTTTCCCTCTTTAGAATATGGTGATTGCCATTTAGACTGCAAGACAGCCTCTGGGTTTTTTTCAAGTTAGCAGAGTGAATGAAGGATACTATGATCACTGATTTTTTATCCTTCTATTTTTCATTAATGAGTCAAACAAGCTCAAGACAATGGCAGAATATTCTTAGTCATTGACATAGATAAAGCTTAGTATGGTGATCCTGTTATTTGGATTTTTTATATAATCGGCATCTGATTATATATAAATATAAATATACAAAATATAAACCATAAAACATAAAATATAAATATAAAATATGAATACATAAATATTGATTATTGAACCTAAATATTTTTTAATGAAAAAGTCATACTGATGTTCTATCATTCTATTCAGTTCACATTGTGCTTTTGTTTTATTTCCTTTATGATCCCTTTTTGAGGGATAAGCAATCATGAGATTTCAGGTCTTTCAGATGTCTAAAGAAATTTCCTTCCTCTGAGACCTTGAGGTTAATTTTCATCCTTCTGCATATGCTCAATGTACGTGTGAAAAAGAAGTTCCCTGGAGGTGAATTTTCAATTTTATTTATTATCTTTTGTTTTCTTGGAAAAAGCTTTTCATTTTAGAGGGGGCACTGGGCCCAGGGTCTGGTTCAGTGCTCACCAAGTCCTCCCACCATGTTCAGTGACTTGGGAGTTGCACATTGGCTTGTTGCTGCCAGAGGTACCAGGAAAGAAAGAATAGCAGGAAGTTACTGACAGTAATTTATTCTTACTGTTTACTGAAACTTGTTTATTCCTGTGGAAATTACTTTTATTTCTTTGCTGAGGAAAGCTGTAAATGAGAGCTCATTCACAACAAAAGTTGTCTGGACTTCTGGCACATTTGTAAACAGCCACATGTTTTCAATCCAACTATATTGCTTCAGCATTATTTTCTGCTCACTGTTGTACTAAAGTTTTATTGATAGAAACCACTGTGGTCCTTTTCCCTTTCTTTTCCTACAGAGTACAAGAGTTAAAGATTTGATTTAATAAAAGTTACAGACTACATAATTTAATAGGATCAATCTTTATTTAGATGTTAATCAATTTTTAGAGATTTCTTTTATTTGCTTTTAACTATCACTCAGGCAATGCCTGAAGAAAGACTAAAATTTAATCTATAGAAACTTTAAAAGAGCTGGAGGAAGCGCCCATTTGTATTTGATTGTATTGAATGCATCTGATAGATATTTACAAAAGAAGGATTGTCTTTCTG